TACTCACCCAGACAATGAGCAAACACACAGAAAGAGGATGAGACACAGAGCTTCCAAAGCATGGGCTGGCTACAGGAAGCTAGTTCAAGCACCAAGAGGCCCAAACAACCTATCTTTTCATTGGGGCCACCCTTCATCACAGTCATACATGCGGCGTTGGCCACTTACACAAATTTGAAAGGAAACAATAAGAATAGGGGACATGGGAGGGTGGGGTGGCGTAGTGAGTGTAAGTTTAAGCCTTGCTGAGTTTGATCCCGGGAACCCACATGGGAGGAGAGAACAGATGTCCTCAAGTCATCCTCTGTCCTTCATGCACATGCAAACACATGTGTGCACACACGTGTAAATCAGTCAATAAACTTAATTAAATTATTTTTTAAAAAATAGTCAGGCACACTCTTATCTGTAACATATGGAAGAATTCTATGAAGTATTCAACTGTATTTCACTGCAGTGTATACCACGCGATCCACTCATAACTGTGGAAATAAAGGATGCTGAGCTATCTTCAGATTACATAGTTAGCAAGTCTTGGCGAGGTCCCACATTTAGCACCAGCAAGCAGATGTACAGCCCCATCACGGGTCAGAGCATGGGCTGGAATCTATGGGACAAAATGTAAAAGACCCTTGAGGTCTCTCAGCCCATCTGCACTACCCAAAGCCTTGCGACTCCAGGGTCTTCTCTCCACTGTAGGCAGTAGTTGGGCAAGTGAAAAAGCAAACTGGATCTAGATGCACATAGGTGTTTCCGAGCATCTGTATTCATCAGTGTGCACACTTGGAGGCAACTGAGATGCCCTTTATTGGAAGACTGGCTAAAGATGCAGACAGAGCTTGATAAAAGAATATTATTTGGCACTAAAAGCAGATGTGCTGTCAATTCAGGAAAAGACATGGAGAAGCCCTAAATACATGTTACTGTAACTGCAAAGGCTACATGCTGTACGATTCAACTACATGTTCTTCTGGGGTGAGGTAGAAAGAACTAGTAAAATGAGCCGGTGGACGGTTAGGGCAATGAACGTCTTCTGTATGACAGCAGCATGATGAATGCATGTCATTACATGTTCATTTAGACCCATAGGACATATACCACCAAGGAGGAATTCCAGTGTGAACTGTGGGTTCAGGGTGATAATGGCGCACCAACGCCACTGCGTGGATGATCCCAAACCACTCTGATGGAGAACACTAATAGTGGGAAAGGCCATGGGGCTGGCAGAGAGGCCTATGGGAATTCTCTATGCTCAAATTTGTGATGAACCTGAAATGACTCTTTAAAATAATCTATTAAAATAGGAAGGGGAAGGAGGCAATATGCTATTTTTTTTCCAGTTTTTATCTACTTTTGATGCTTACGCTCCCATTCATGCAGCCTTAGCTGCTTCCTTATATAGTCTATCATGACCCACCCAAATGGACATGGGGAATGAGAACAGCACTGCCACCAGGATTGCTTGGGACTTTGCACTTGCTAAGAACCCTCACATGGAGACCAAGAATGGGGAAGAACTTGGAGCTCTTGACTCATGTCATGTGACAGGATAGATTGAAGTGGCTAAGTGAACTTGGCAATGAACATGAGTGCCCCCCCCCGCCTCTCTCTCTCTCTCTCTCTCTCTCTCTCTCTCTCTCTCTCTCTCTCTGCCTTCTCTAGAAGGAAGTCAAGGATAATATATGCTCATGTGTTCATGCCTGCCTGCAACCCAGTCTCATCTTACAGATGTGCTTAGATGCATAGGTTTAAACATGCAGGCTTCATCATTCCATCTGCAGGTTTATGTCTGCCTCTCTTGGGTTAGAGCTGCATGCCTGGGCTGACGCACCTCCATTGCATACACCAAACTCTGAAGGAGCTTTGGCATAGCCATGTGAGCACTGATGTGAGGATCAGATGATCATGGAGGCAGAGGACCACAGCAACTGCTCAGCAAGAGGTTGCCTCTAAAGGAAACAGTCCCAGAGATGCCTGTGAACTCAACCTCTGCTGGCAGTAGCCCTGTGCTCACACATAAGTCATGGTGCCAAGTCAGTCCTAACTCATCATCCCTTAGTGGTGTCGTGAGTGTCTTTGTGCAGGGGGCAACTGTTATATAGCTGTTTCCTCCAATTGTAGCAGTCCCTCTTTGGGGACACTTATAAATCCACAAGGTCTCCCCTGAGGTTACAGAAGTATAAACAATGCTTAGAGAGAGGATGTGGAAATTCTTCAGTGGAACTGCCTTCAGGCTGTGCAGGAAACTCTAGTGATACAGCCCTTCTGAGTCACTAGTTGGGGTGAGTTTTTTGGTGATGCAATTGCTCAAGTCAGTCATGCTCCTGTAATTAATTCTAATAAACTCACTGGCTCACCGCTAGACTTGGGAAGAATCGTTTCTTTGTCTGTTATTGGAGTCATATCTGGGGTGAGTACCTGCCTCTTCATGCCTCCCTGGGGAAAAGGGAAGCAGCAACGAGCCACACGGGGTGTACTGTGGGTCCATGATCATCTGTCCAGAGCAAATGAGAGTGTCTCAGCGATCCGGCCCCAGCTCTGCCTGGCCTCTGCCTGCCTCTGGAGGATGGCCAAGTAGGTCAGCCTCTCCAGACTACTGCTTTCTCACTTGTAAAACAAGAGGCTCCATCTCCCTCTAATGATCTAAGATGTATGGGAAATTGAGAGCACGCTCCCTTCCCTCCCCCATCTCTCCTCTTGAAGTTGACCCAGCCCTTCTAGACCACACTAAAACCAAAACAAAACAAAAATCAATTTTAATTATAAAAATCCGTTTGAGTGTATCGATAAATCATTCAGGGCCCAGCCTGGTTGTGAGGAGGTTGCACCAGACACTGGCCTAATATGTCACTCTCCTCCTCCTCCGCCTCACTGCTCTGAGACTGCCACCCACCCCACTCTCTGCTTCAATATTCATCTTTGTCATTAGGCTGTGGATTATTAATGATGTACTGGGCTGATGGATGGGAGCCCAGATGTGCTGAAACACACTGTGACTACTTGTAACTTGGTTTCCAGTGGACACCTTGACAAGAGATTGTGATGGGCTTCCTCCTCACTTTCCAGCAGTAGGCAGCTATGCCTGCTGGGGCTGGGGCTGTTTTTCTATATAGCTCCTTGGTGGAGAGAATAGAAGACCCAGGGGGGCACAAGCGGAAAGAGTGTGCCTTTCCCAGACTGCTCGGTGGGTGACAACACAGTGCTATGTGCCCATCAGTTTCCCCTGGCAACAAGTCTTTAAATTAATTAGCTGATCAGTTAATATTGTTGTTGGGGTTATTCCTTATGTGATGAGAGAGAGAGAGAGAGAGAGAGAGAGAGAGAGAGAGAGAGAGAGAGAGAGAGAAAGAGAGGTGCCATCTGCTTCAGATAGCCATTTGGGGGTGGGGAGGGATCTTTTGTGGGCTCCAGTGCAACAATGTACCTGGAGAGGGAGGTGGGGTGCTGGTTTAAAGGGTAAAAGCAGCAGGGACACGGCTCTAGAGTTTAGCCATCATCTGTGACTCCCCAAGTCAAGGGTTCAAGTTTACATAAGCACACAACACTGAAACTGAGGCTTAGACAAGGACGCAAAGAGCAAACAGCAAGTGGCCCAGAGGAACCAGCTCCTTCCTCCGGGGACTCGGAGACCCACGGCTTCATTTCCAGCCTCTGAGGCTTTGCATTGGGCCTGGAATCCTAAGGCTGGCATGTGTGCCTACAGTCACCACAGGGACCATGGGTAAAGACACATGCCAGGCAGGAGGAGGCTGAGACTCTCCTTGCAATTCTAGAACCTTCCTGACCTTCCCTGCCTCAGTCTAGTTGGCAGATAAGAGAAATGGAGAGGCTTACCTGAGGGGAAAGTCAGCAGGCTGGCTACTACCAGAGGGACAAAGCTCACATGTGGTTTGTGGGAGGCGACTGCGGGGCCAACCAATGTGCTCTACTCACCTGAATTCACAGGCACTGCAGCACAAGCTGAGGAGTGAGCAGCCATCTTTTTTTACTGTGTATCACCATTGAGCAATCTGGGTGGGCTACCCACAGTCTAGTAGCTGTGAGCAACTTCTCTGGCATCCCTGAGCCTCAGTGTCTTCGCTGTGAAACAGCTAATGATCCCTGCCTTGGTTGATAAGAGAGCATCCCAACAACAGGCTATCTGGAGTATTTCATTCCCATTAGCATGTCTTCCAGAAGACAGAAAGGCGATACTACTCAAAACCTACCAACTTGGCCATTTGCTTGCATTGATTTTGTGGGAGAGAAAATTAAAAGCAGCATCCAAGATAAGACACGGGGTTGTTTCTGGAGTCATTGCCGAGGCCCTGGGCTCCAAATCTGGGCTGCAGATTTGCCTTCCACACACCAGTGGTGAGACCTTTGAGAAGTCAATTTAACCTCTCTCACCTGCCTCTGGAAGATGAGTGTACCAAGAGTGAGGAGGTGCTGGCCAGGTTCAAGGAGATATTGTATAAAAGGTACTTTGGAAATTGCAAGTTTGGAAAAGATCCATGATACTCTTTTCATCTGCTACCACTGTCCTATCAGCAAAGATAGTTTAGAATTCACCTACATTGAGCCTTCTGGAGCTCACAAATAATAGTCACTATAGTAACTAGTAATTCTTTCAGATGTCTTGCTACACTGAGATACTGTGTGGAAGAAGTGAGACCATTATAAACAAAGAAGGCATAAAGAAGGAGGAGGAGGAGGGGCTAGGAAGAGGAGGAGGGGGAGGAGGAGGGAGAGGAAAAGGAGGAGGAGAGGGAGGAAGAGGAGGAGGGGGGAGGAGGAGAGGGAGAGGAGGAAGAAGAGAAGGAGGAAGAGGAGGAGGAGG